GTACGTGTCCACAAATACACGAGGAATGTGCCTTCAAGTGGTAGGTCGGTTTTAAGCTTCCATGTCGATAAAAGGAAAGGCGGGTGCCAGACATGCTACAGGGTATTCCCTCCAACTCCTGTTTTATTGTTTTGTGCATTTTTTTCTTTAAATTTTTACATATTTTCGTTTATTAACGGTTTCGCAGGACCGATACTTGTTACTTCGTTCATATTGACCAGTATGATAGGGAGATTCCTTACCAGCAGCAGCATTACTCGCTATGTGTATCACTCGGAAACTTGCCTTTTCTGGCGCTTGATTTCGACTGGAGAAGTCGTAGTGGTCCCAGGAAATAACGAGAATAAGTGTGCCATACATGTGACCTCCTAGTCGTGGTGTCATTTCAAGTGTGATTTGGCGTGTGCAATGACCTGTGGGGACCAGCCCATGCATTTCGGTATTTCTACCTTTCCAGTTGGGTCGGTTCGTTGTTACCAGCCTCATTGGGTGAAGTGCGCTGGCCACAGCCCCGCAAAGCGTATTGAAGAGTTTGATCGCCCTTCAGCCAATGACGCCAACGACCACCAATGACGCTGGAAACAACCGTCCGCCTCCAGTAATCGTTCCCACTTCCCACTGCCTCTAACCTTAGAGGCTCAGTTGGTCGTACCCTGATGCATTTGGCAGTAGCGCTGTCTGTCAATACCGTTGAAAACTTGTACACCTAAAGGCAGTTGGCACAATAAATCCCCAAAGACGTGTTTAATACGACTGGCATGACAGAATTCCGTGACCCTGAACAGGCGCTGCGTAGCGCCTTTTCCAAGGAGGGTACCCTTATAGCGCCCTATCGAGCAGCAACATACCGACCCGGACGCCCACCTCGCCCGCCCGCCTACCATTGGACGTATAGCATCACAGCACGAGGACGTGCCGTTGTGGACCGCCCGTGCCTACATATAATGTAGTGTAACGAAAAGGACTGAACCGCTTACTGCTGGCTTTTTGCCAGCAGTAAACGGTTCAATCGGTAGACTCGTCCAAAGCAGCGCCCGCCCCGTTCGCTCGTCCACTGCCGCAGTGCAGCGAAGAAATAAAGCCCCATTTCGTTGGTTTCCCCACCATTTCGCCCCGTTTTTTCACTATTTTTGCATTACTGGGCACCTTTGCTCTTTTTCAAGGTGTACATGAAATTATCGTGCCAACTGCCTTTAAAAAAGTGACATTTGGTAACATTTTTTAGTTTATTTAGCTTCTTATAATTAAATTTACTTGCTTTTAGTGCATTCATCGTGATTTGGCTGCAAGAAATGTACTGCTTACAAGTAAACGAATTTGCCGGATCGCAGATTTTGGTATGGCGAAGAACGAGAACAAGAACTACTACAGGTCTGATTTACCACGATGACCTTTTTACTTAAGGTTATTCCTGTGAACGAGGTGCTTCTTTCAGATTGCGCAAGAAAAACGTGCTCGTACCGTATCGTTGGATGGCCATCGAAGCGATTCAGGACGGCGTGTATACATTAGAAGTGAGTAATTTGTTGCCCTTTAGAGATTCTCGTGGTGTTGGCACGTCACCGTTTGGCTGAAAGGCGGAGTCAGTTTGAGGGTACTAGTGGGAACTGCGGAAAATGACGTCATCCCGTTATTTCTCATATCATTTTTATGAGTGCTCCTTTTTAGTCCGATATGTGGTCATTTGGCATTCTACTTTACGAGATTTTCACGCTGGGTGGATTACCGTATCCCACTATTTCGAATGAGGACCTGCTACCGAAACTACTCGATGGATACAGGAACTCCAAGCCACAGTACTGCCATGAAGACATGTAAGTTCATTTAAGTCATGTATTTTGCGGAATTCATCATGTTCTTATGTGGTGAAATTTCTTTGAAATACACATTCTTCATCAAACGAGGTGTAACAGCGACACGCCGATCAAAGTGGAACGTGAACAGATTCTGAGTCAGTTGCAGCGTGGGGGTATAGCTCAGTGGTAGAGCGCTCCCTTAGCATGGGAGAGGGCTGGG